TAGAAAGACCCGGGAGGCTTATCTCTACACCGCCCGCTCTCCTCATCACCTCTTCCTCCTCAGTTCCCCTCCACCCTGTTTCCTCATTTTGTTGCATCAGCAGGGACATGTACGTACTCCTGGCGACTGGTCCATGTGTATGTGGAAGAATTTGTGAATGTGTTGGAGGATGGGGGAAAGCTGTTCAGGGTGCACAGTAGTTGGTTTTGTTTTTTATGATGTAGGATAGTATTATGGGTTTGGTAATGACAGTGTGATGTGCTTTTCAAACAAGCTCTGAGATGCAAAGAATTGTGGGACTGCATTATTAATGAAGCCTCTGGGAAAATGAAATGCAGAACATCGACACTACCTATAGTCGCTGACAGTATTAAATTCACTATAACGTAATAAATATTATAATGTGTTTTAGTAGGAAATATAGACTGGAATAAAATAATCTGAATGAATGGGGTGGCACTGAATACATTAATGTTCACTATAAATCATTGTTGTTTGCCATTTAGAGTAAAGTCTTTTTCAGAAATGCACAAGTGAATTTTCAACTTTGTCGATGAAGAAAAGACGTTTGAGGTGTGAGAATTTATGTTTTTTGACGAAACACAATTCCAACCATTACCAGAAATTTTCAAGCACTTAGTCCGTTTGTCCGTGTTGATGAAAGTTAAGCCATTAGTCGAAAGCTAAACAGTTAAAACTAAACAAAACACAGTAGACCTTGAGTTGGATTGTCAAGCCATGAACCTTGGTGCTTTAGATCTCTTCTATCTTTATTGAGGATCTTCGGTATCATTTATATTTAATTCCTTGATTTTTTGTGATTCTTATACATGAATGCACCAAGGCAAATTCCTCGTATGTGTAAACTTACTTGGCAATAAACTTAATTCTGATTCTGATTCTGATTCTGCTAAACTTTAAACCAACACTATTACTACTATTTCCACGGTTAAGAATGAACATTGATGCCATAGCACTGTATTTATTTTTGTATATAGCTCTCATCAGTTTTTAAGTCACAAAAACTATAAATATAACTTATAATATAACAGTGTGTAGGATTTAGTGGAATCTAGCAGTGTAGTTGATCGCAATGAACTCGCTTCATCCTCCCCTTCCAAGTGCTCCCCTTCCATTTAGTTTAAAACTGCCTTTCAGTGCATATCTTTTATTTATATCTGCAATATGGCAACACACACTGATATATATTTTATTCAAAATGTATCCACAGAAATCTTTCACATATTAACACAATCATTACTGGTCTTCTTAGAAGCAGAATGCATGTTTCTGAGGTTCATTCTTTAGGAGCCTGCTGTCAGTTGGCTATCATGTTTTCAATAAGGGATAAAGAGAGCTTCTCAATGTATGAGAGCAATCTATACAAGACAGACACGGAACAATGTGTGTAAGTCCTCAAGGAGCATGGAGAGAGGAAATAAAAATGGTAGACACATAGAAACGTGAACTTGAGATCTAATGCCATGTTGCAAAGACATATGCACTATGTAAAAACAATAAACACTGTAAAACAAGTATACCCACACTTCTTCTGCCTACTGAAATCATAATAATTAGTTTGGTAAAGTATTCAGGGTGTCATTTTCATCTAAGCCAGTATTTACATTACAATAAGTGAAAGTTATATGATTCACATACTGTAGACATGCTGACAGTTTTATTAGTTTTATTCTATGCTAGTTAGTGACATACCCATGTGGTTGACATGGTTGCCATTCAGACTGAAAAACGTTCAACAAATTAAGTCAAAAACAAAAAACAACCTTTTATGGGGAGAAACTGGAAGAAACAGAGATCCCTGCAATCCGGACGACAAAACACGTCGTTGGGTTCCAAAATGAGCTTGGATGAATTAAAAATGATTTATCTTTTTCATCTGCCATTTCTGTAGTTAAGGTTTGGATGGGTTCAGGCAACAAAAACTTCTTGGATAAGGTTAGGGATAAACTGTAATGATGGAGAAAAAGAGGAGAGGAGAGAGGAGATAGTATGTCAGTAGTGTCAAAGTAACACAATTTATCCACCAGGTTTCATAGTCTTCCGACCACTCAAAGCACTAAATGCCACAGTTACTCACATTCATACAGTGACGGCAAAGGTTCATCACAAACAGAAACTAACTCATTCATACACCATAGTAGGGAGCCATACCCGCTCTACCTCCTGAGCCACAGCCGCCACCATTTTCTAGGGAGAACTGTTCCAGAACTACATGTCCATACAGCTGAATTGGTTGACATCCTGATTGAAAAAAAAATCATCAAGATTTTTCTGTATTTCGCTAGCAAACATTAGGTCTATCAGGGAAATATCAGCAACTGTGTAAATGTCTTAACACACAGGCCCAGGCCTGCATGTTACGTGCTAGAGTCCATTGAGACATTCTTCTCACCGAGATGCAATGACATGATAGACACAAAAGCACAGGAGGGAAGGTGATTTGATTCCAAGCTAATACTGGAATCCATCCTCCAGTGAGGGAGGGAAGATGAAGGATATGTGCTGGGGGAGGGATGGAGGAAACAAGATAGAGTGGGAGGAAGAAGAAGTGTTAAGGCTCGGCTAATGAGTACAGCCGAGATGTGTTTGCTCAGCATAGAGCAGCATTTGCAGGGATGTGAATGACACAGAGGGCTCCACACTAAGCTTGACCAGATTGGATCTCCTGCCATCGGGTGGCATCTCCGGGAGCCACCGCAGGATGCAAATCCAAACACACACACACTCTGGTGGGGAAGCGTACACAGCTGTGCCTCCACACAAGAATATTAATACCCATGAACGCACACATATGGGGCCAAAGATCAGGAGCCAAATTGAAAAGTCCCCAGATTTTACTTCTCCTTTCCCTGACTAAGCAGTGGGGGGACATGTCTGCTGATTTGGCCATAAAAAGAAGACCTTGTACGTGTGTGTGTTTGTGTGAGTGTGTAAAGGTGCTGGAGTCTTTACAACACACAGCGCTGAAAGCATGTACCGCCTGCGCACACATGCTTCCATGCATATTTTACCACAACGTAGTACAGTATCAAGCTCGCCTTGGAGAAATTATTTAAGGTCAGATGTTCAGCTGCATCATTAGCACTGTCAATCTGTAAAACCATGACAGCACAGCGCTACTCTAACTGGAGGAGTTTTCCTGCAGGGCATGTTGTCCTAATGTCAGTCCACAAGTTGGCCGATGGGTATGTTTATACGAATCGCTCTACTTCCTCACTGCTTACCACAAATGTGGCCTAGATACCAGCGCCCGTCCAACCTCTACCCCCTCCAAAATCCAATCGAGACCAGCGTCCAGCCGAAGCCTCGCCGCCAAAGCCAATCATTTCACCGGCAGGACAGCAGCCCGCAGAATCTATTCTACTTTCATTATACTGAGCCTGAGGAGAGAGACTGTGAAAGGAAGACAGAGAGAGGGAAAGTGAGAGGGGAGCCAAATTAAAAGAGTCCTGTAGCCCCGCATACACTCCGTTCCGAACCCATATTTAATTCAGTGATTGATTTCTTCATTAAAATACATCCCAAACCTAATTATTCCATTAATAATCCAAAACCTAATGAAAAAAAATACTCTGTATATGTGTGTGTGTGAAAGGGAGAGAAGGAGAGATTCAGTTAGTGAGTGATAAAGAGAAGATGGAGACAAGAGGGAGATGCAGAAAGAGACAGAAAGGCATTAAAGAGGTCATTTCTTGCACTGAGAAATTCCTAGTTTTCTACAACTACGCAAAGCGTTGCACACAACTCTCTCTCTCACAAACACACACACACACACACACAAACACACACAACTAGGACAAACATTAACCTATGTTAACCCGAGCACATGGCCACCATGGAAACTGAGAAATGGGAAGATTTGTAAAAGGAAAAGAGACGTAGCTGTTTACATGTGAATGCAGGAAAGGAAAGGGAAGGATAAGGCAGGGGGTGAAGAACAGAAAAGAAAAGAAAGGTGAGTATAGAGAAAAGGATAGACAAGGACAGAATGAGCAAAAGAAAAAAGTTGGGAAGGAATTAAAGGAAAGAACATAAACAGAAAGATAGAAAAAGGAGAGGAAAGGGAAGGATGACAGGAATGGCAGAACAGATGAGAGAAATGGAAAGGATAAAAATGAAAGGAAAAGGAGGTAAAGGAAATTAAACAAAGGGACATGAAAGATGAGGAAATAAAAGGAAACAAAGGAAATGACATGAAAGACAGAGAGGAAAAGAAAGGAAAGAAAAGTGAAAAGGGACATGAAAGGTAATAAAGATGGGGAATAATGGAAAGTAGAGAAAGAAAAGAAAAGGAGAGCACAGTAAAGATGAGGTAAGGAAAGGAAAGGACAGGACAGGACACAAACATGAGGAAAGGAAAACAAATTGCAAAGGGTACATACAGAAAGCTAGGAAAGGAGACAAGAAGAAAGGAAAGGAGGGCAAAAAAGGAAAGGAAAGACCGGGGCCATTTACACAGATCTATAGAGACCTCTGTGTGTGTCCTGTATAATGTGTGAAAGTGCGTGTGTCGTAATGTGAGCGTCAGTCATTGTGTGCGTGTGTGTGTGGCAGTGGCAGCGGGGCAGCCCTGAGTGTGGCTGTAGATTAATGGGGGCCATTATCTCAATGCCCAAAACACTCAGTGATGAAGAGTCACTGCCTGGCGGCAGGCCTCGGCCAATCAATTTGCGCCGCAGCGGTCACCTGCCCGGGTCAGAGCCCACATACGGCTGGTGTTTGTGCTGTTGTTGTAGCAGGGGTGTGGTGTGGTGTGTGTTGGGCGGGTGGGGGGGTTGGCAAATTGCCACGACATTATGGTGAAATAGGATATAGTAGAATAGTTTCTCTCCGACAGGTTCATGTGATTCGGCAGCTATCATAGCATAGCTATGCTATCTTACCTGCATTTCACAGGTAAGGATAGTGTCAAACATTATCAGGCCACTGCTGTGCTTTATTGTTTCCCAAAGTAATTGTGTTGACATTCTTTTATTCACCTTGTGATACTGCGTGATGATTGGAGGATTTCCCTTGTCTGGCGACTGAAAGGAAGGTGATGGAGTGTAATTATCAACGGCAAAGTAATGCTGTCTCCACAGTATCTCTGCAGCTGAGGAGGTGCACATCAGCTCTGATGATAACCTCAGAAGTATAAATACAGCTTTAATCTACAACATTTATTTGACAGCTACTAGCTACTATACTTTGCAGATTAAGATTTACCAATATATGATCATTTTATCATATATGATGCATTAAACTAACCAGATTTAGCTCCAACTTGACTAAAATTAAATAACTAATACAGTTAAATAAAATACATACTCTGACATTCTAAAAGACACCAGTTTGCACAATGAATACTTATACTGTTGATATACACGTTATATTTTACTGTTTACTGTAACTGATTTCAAATGTCACATTGCTGCTTCTTCTTAAAGGAATAGTTTGACAATTTGGAAAAAAGCCTTTTTGCTGAGAGTTTGATTGACACCACTCTGTGAAGCTTATAAGTAAAGTACTGGTACTCATAACAAATAATAATAATAATAAATGTATCCACCTTACAGTACACAGCAAGTCCTTTGTATTGGTTCATATGTCCTGTGCCCTGTTTTTTGGACTTTGTCTCTCTGTTCTTTAATACCTTCTCTCTTCTGTCCTCTATCTTAACAACATCCTTTTCAAAGCTAACTGAACACCAAGGGAAAATTATTTTCCCCTTTGCTGGAAAATTGTGTGTCTTCCGAAGGATGCTGTTTCTCCTGGAGGACAGGTTCCCCATCATTACCTTGAGAGCGCAAAGATCACTCAGAGAAGGGCTCTGAGTTATTTATCCAGCTCACATGCCCAAACACACACGGTTAGGTGTTCAGATATAGACAAAAGAAACACACACATAAATGGTAACACACACTAATGCTCACAAACATACCGCAGAGAGTGTCTTGAAAAATGCCTTCAGGCTATAAGACGGAACACGGAGGATCCAAGAGGCTATTATAAGAGAGAAGAACCAAGCTGCCTTTAATGCTGTGAGCATTTTAGGGTTATGAGGTCTGAAAAAACACATGCTGTTAAATAGACTGCATGCTGTAACTGGGGACACACGCCTAATCAGCAGGGAGTGGAATTAAATTAGATCAAATTGATTCATGAGCAGTTCAGTAATTATCAAGTTCGGTTTAGTCTAGTTAAGTTTTTAGCCATGCTAGCGACATGGCTCCAGGGATGGTCGGTCTGTCCATTCAGCACTTTCGTCCGAATATTGGTGAACACAGTGGAGCAGCTAAAGAGTCAGAGATTTCCCTCAGGAGTTGGTAGAGACCAAAATTACAGTTAAAAGAGAGTGAATATTGGCCAGCTGGCGAGAAACATGACTTTAAATGAATGATGTTGCTCTGTAAATTAATAAAAAATTAAAAAGCTTATTGCCATATAGACATCATTTTTTTGATCTGGGCTAAATACTGGTTTAAATACTTGAGTAATAGACACTCTTTTCTGAAAAAAATGAAGCCCTTAAAATAACACATTTAGTTTCTGGTGTCACACAATAAGTGATAATAAGATAATAAGTGATGTTTACAAGCCATGACCATCATTATGACACAGGTGGTAAGGATCTAAAAAACACTAAAGATACTTGAGTGTTTATTGTTGTCAGATATGGAGAGGACAGGTCATTCAAAGGCTAACAGGAACATAAGAAACCCTAATGATCCCACCAAATTGATCCGCTAATTCGCTCAATAAAAACAAATGATCAGTCTTTGATTTCCAATCAGTCAGTCTGGGACCTTCAGCCACAAAATGAATTGGAGTTATAGCAATCAATCACAATCAACATATATGCTGAATTGAATTTCACAGGGTCGAGGACAGTTGTGAATAATTTTCTCTCTTGCTCTTCCTCACTTACAGAACCACGAAGAAAAACGGACACTTCCCTTCTGCCGCTACAGGTGAAATCGAATCCAATTACAGCAATAAGTACCTGCTTAAGTAACCTGTTCATGAAGCTCTTGAGAATCATCCATCATGGGTGACTAAAGGGTTAAGACCTCCCACACTAACCCCCCAGCCCATGAAACCAAACTGCTCATCATTGGCTCAGATAGAAGAAACAAGAGAATATACTGCCTTTAACGATGACCAACAATCAATTCCAATAGACTGACTGATAATGGTGTGCTTTAGAAAGAGAAAATCATCTGAAGAATGGTCTGTGACACAGCTTTTACGCACAGTAGGTCCTTTATAAACATGAAATGTATGGGTCTTTTCATGGTAGGACGGTAGATTGTAAGTATGCTAATCCATTCTGGGCTACTGTAGAAACATGGAAAATTAATAAATGTAATTTACCTGTAATTTATTACTTTAGTTGGCTAAGCAAGATAGCTAACAACTATCTGTGAAGAAACACAAACACAGCGCTTTCAAAAGGTCTCTTTCACAGGCTGCTTCCTCACCCAGATCAGATCACTGCTCCCCCACCGACACAGATTAATCGGTTTATCCGATCAGGATCAGATGAAAACTACAACTGCATGAGCACATGTTTTAAAATCCCTGGAGCTGCTTTTTCCAGTCATTTTGTATGTGACAGGGATAACTATGGCTAATTTCTGTGTATTTTCAGTGTCACTTCAGCTGCCATTATCACAGCGGAGAGACTCTTAACTGTATTTACACTTAGAATTCTGTGATATTGGAGAGCTATCCAATTTGCTCAAGATGCATGAAGTGTTTGTATATACATAAGTGAAACTGCATAATCTCGGTATTAACAGTGGCAATGACCATGACTGGTCAATATAAATCTATGGTAATGTGATATCCATTAATGTGAAATTGTAGCCTACAGTAAAGCAAGACAAGGCTTAGCAGGACTGGAAGAAGAAAAAGTCTCTTTGCTTGATTTAAACCTCAATGGGTAGAACCACACATCTTCAGAATACACATTAGCAAACTGGCAAACTTGGAAAATCAACAAAATATTAACAGTTGCTGTCTTGTCTAAAACCCTATCAGGCTGTTCACTGCCAGCAGCAGATCAGCCTTTTGTCAGATCATTTTTTTGCTGCTACTTCTTCCAGAGCTGATAGGAGAATGGCTCTGTATCACAGCCGATGTCTGCCTGCACAGCATGTAATAGCAGCCTAGAACCCTACTGCCATCCTGGAGTTATAACTTAGAGAAGTTAAATCTTACCCAGCAGTTACACGATCAAGCTGTCTGCCTGCATTGACTTAATTCGCAAAGAAAACACAAATGTTCTTTGGGTAAGCAAATGCACGCACAGTATTTCAAGCTTTACTGTTTTTTCAACGGTTTTGAGCGCAGATTTTGTTTGGGTAGCAGAGAATGGGTCTTTAATTCCCTAATTTCTTGCGCCGTCACTCATTTCCTGGAGGAATAATGTGTGTTGATGTGCTTCTAAGACCGAGTTCAAGGCAAACTAGACTTGTCGGCTGCTTAACGACGTCAGAGGCCTGCCATGTCATTGTGAGAATGATCAGCGTGTCAAGCATTGAGAATAATTAGGATCAAAGGAGCAAATTGGAAGAGACATCAATAGACTCAAACGCTGTATTTGCTCTTAAAGGTCCAGTGTGTAACATTAAAGAGGATTTATTTGCATAAATATCATTTAATATTCATGTTTTTATTAGTGTATAATCATCTGAAGATAATAATTGTTATGTTTTAGTTAACTTAGTCGCCATGGCAGGCAGGATAAAATCTCATTTTTAAACAACACTAAAGGTTTTTTTTCATCTCAGAGTCCAGAATTGTTTACAGGGGTTACAAGTTTGCAAAGCATGCAACAGAGAGGGTCATTGCTGGTCTGTGACCCATTAGCACTTTCTGTCTAAGCAGGAAGAAAAGAGGACAAAAGATCTGAGTCTTTAAAAAATGTGAGCTTGTTTTGGGTGACACTGGACTTGGCAAGCCTCTGGATGTCACCATCCGTCAAATGCTGTCTGGAGACTCTAACACAAAGATCTATTACAACCCACACACATTGCCATCATATCCAATACAGCAATACATGACAGAAAAGCTGAAGCACCATCCTCTTTTGATCTGCTTGTAGTCGCTTACCTTGGCGATTTGGACACACCAGTTGAGCAGCAGCTGCGATCCGATGTTGTCCTTGTGCTCGTGCACATAGTCAAGGAGGCAGCCGTGGGGCATGAGCTGGGTGACCAGCTGAATGGTGGGGCTCAGGCAGACGCCCAGCAGACGCACCAGGTGGGGGTGCTCCATGCTGGCCATGATCAGGGCCTCCTGGGTGAGAGGGGGGGAGGGAGGACAAAGAGGGACTAAGAAGACTGTTGCATTCCATGGATGGAAATACAGAAATAAGTGACACAGTTCTGCTGTATGAAATATTTGATTTTCTGTATGCATGTTGTTATCAGGAATTCCAATTTACAGGCTATTCCCTGAACAGATCTACCAGATTAATAGGTACTCTATTAAGAGTGGCAAATATAGGAGTGAAATGTTATTAAAATCAGAAGGGACTTGACACGAAGCAGACTCCACCATTGCTGAATGCTGTTAAGATACAGGTCCTGCAATAGAGTTGCTAAGTGGGAAGGTCCTCAGGTTCCTTGAGTGTTTTTTCTCCATTCCATCTACCCATTTAATTTTTTTCCTCAGTGTGACTTAACATAGAAAAGCTGAGAAAGGGTGGTAGCATGTGTGGCTGGTTTGTGACCCCTAAAGGAAAATAATGTCTTCTTCTGACCCCTTATCATAAGTTGTTAATAGAGGCTTGAAGAGGTGAGTGTGTGAATAAAGAAAGTGATATATTAGTGATAAATCTGAAAAAATAAAAAATTTGTAACAGAAGCATTTGGTGATCCGTTTAGGGTCCTGACCCCAAGGTTAGGAAGCATCAGTGTAGACATTCTATTGATTAAGAAATGTAAATTTAATATGTCTACCCATGCATGTATCATCAATGGATAATACTGCACTGTATCCCAAAGACTTCCTACTTGAGGTGGAGTTAGATGCATAAATTACGACTTGTGGGATAACAACTACATCTGCATGCACAGCATCTGTCTACAGAGTATTCTCAGTGTGCAAGAAAATGCTGCAGAAACCTTCTTCAAAGCTGCACAAGCGCAGCCTTTTTCATCTATATTTTACCCAATATAAAACAGAGGTTCTTACTGTAAATGTTGCACCAACACAATTAAAACACGACAGTACGGATGGTACATATTTAATAATATCTGGTGCTGTCTTATACAGAGTTATTATGTGTTTGATTTCTTAAACTTTATTTCTCTCGTTTTTTATGGCCTGTAAGTGAATTTTCTGTCTTCCCTCTCATCTCTTTCTGCGGCAGATGGACGTAGAGGTTTGAACAGTTGGGACTCAACGTTGGGTAATTGTTATTGTGGAGCTGCAAGCAGAAGGATGTGTGGTGGTGATAGAGTGTGCATTATGGCTGAGCAGAAGCTGCACTCAGAGTCATTGCTTAAAAACACTCACTCCAGTCCTTCTCCGCATCTACTTTTGCGTATCTCTCTCGCTCTCTCTCTCTCTCTCTCTCTCTCTCATTCACACAATCTCCAATGCACACTCTCTTGGCAGCTCTCTAAAGCACTCACACTCACATACTCAAGGACACACTCTCTCGCTGTCTCTGCATACAGCAAATGGTCGAGGAGGTGTATATCCAGGCTTGGCCCCGGGGGCAGCTGATAGATAGATGAGGTGCCTTTTTAAATTTAGATGCTAAAGAATGAGCTTAGAGGGAGAGTGGTGGTGGTGTGGGTGTGAGTAAATTAATTCTAAACAGGAGGGGGGCCATAGGCCATAGAGAGCCTTTTGGCACCATCAGTGCCCTGATTTAAACAGAGCCTCCTGGCCCAAAGTAGTGCCACTACATCTCCACTTCATAAAACCACCTGCTTCCCCCCTCTAACTGCCCGACATTATACAACTCCAGCCAACTCTACACCAGGCGTACCTCACACCTCGGGATCAAGAGTGGAAGAAAAGGGAGGGAGGAAGGGGGGGAGCGAAGGAGGATGTCTCTGTGTGTAACAGAAAGAAGGAGAGTGTGCTTCTATTCTCACTCTGTGATCCCAAAAGACCCAAAAGGGAGTCGTAAACTATCTCGGGCTTAAACTCTTGCTTTCTACTTCTCAGTGCAAACCGTTATGAGGACCCGTGTGTATGTGTATTCGTGCACTAGTGTGTGTGTGTGTGTTTTGGTTTCTCTCTCATCTCCCTGAGCGCTGACCTCCATTACTGCTGGCTGACCCTCCTTTCCCATCTAGCTCACTTGCTCACTTTCCCTCACACACACACTTGCACACACACTGGGTGATAGACTGGCAGAGCCCTCTGAAACTGGCGCATGTTCCGAGAAGTGTGTGTATGCATCAAAACACACTAAATTAGCGTACTATTAGGCCTTTGCATTTCACATATCAAATAATCAACTCGCTCACATATTTGCTAACACAAGCAAAACACCCTGCAGCTCTCGCATGCAAGGCCACCGCCACCTGGAGAGCCTTTTTGTTTTAAAGTGTGCGCTGTTTGGTTATGTGTGTGTGTGTGTTTATACGTGTGGATTTTCGGAGTGTGTTTGGAGCTGGCACTCCAGCGGCTAGTCTCCCAGTGGCGAGGCGTGAGCCTGCCTTTAGATTGCTGTTTAACAAGCCGGCAGACAGAGCATATTGGCTCTGGATGGACAGAGACCCCCGCAGGGAGAAGCAGGGGAAGAGGAAGGGAGGGAAAGGAGGGAGGTGGTGGGAAGATGCAGGGACAGAGGAGGAGAGGAAAAAAATTGGGCAGAAGGGGAAATAGAAGGAAGTTTCCACTGGGATGATGCTACATACATTTTGCATTTTTGACAATAACAAATATTAAATAAATACCTTCAAAAAAGATGGTCATAGTTACAAATTGTCAGCAAGGATACCTTTCTGTATCGTATCCAGCTAATACTAAGAATTGAGTTATAATTGAAACTAACTCAGCCCTTTCTGCATGGCTTTTAGAATAAACAAATGTATTATGACAGACTCTAGATGACCTGGCCATTGTAAACCCACACACAACCTGTTCAAGATGCTATTATATGCATATAACCTTTAACCCTGTTGCTAACAAAAAGGCGCGATAATGGTTGAAAGTTTTAAATTGTTGAAAGGGACAGTTTTACACCCCTGACAAATAGATCTGCAACAATTTTTATTCTTGATTGATCTGATGATAATTTTTCAGTTGATTAACTGTCTATAAAATACAGAAAAGTATTTATTTATAGAGGCATGCACAGGAAAAGTGCAAAACCTGGCGATAAGTAAAAAAAACAAAAACTGTACTCTAAGTGTGCGAAATGAAAGATGTATAAAAGAGAAAGGAAGAGGTTGGGAAGAAATGGAAACTCCCCAGCTTCCTCCCTTCCTCCTTTTCTTCTCTCCTCTCTCATGCCTGGATTCCAATAAAGCCGTATCTCATAAACAAGTGCTGTTTTTTTAATAGAGTCTCGTTCAATACATGCCTGGCTGTACAGCCTAGCGGAGTTCACTTTATTACTGCCTCTGACTGAGATTGTACTCTCATAAGAATTTACCGCCAAATGCACAATCCCACAAAGTGACAGGCTCGGCCATGTCTTTGACAAGGCTAAGACGTTATGGCTCAGGCGCACAAACGTGAATACACACAGGCGAAAGTAGACACAAATTGTTGCAATATAAATACTCACGTCCATGAACTCCACGTTGGCTTTAGGGCCGGTGGTCTCGTTGAGGATTTTTATGGCCACAGGGATCTTCACTGTCTCGCCCTCTGGGACCCAGATGCCCTGAAATATACAAGCAATCACAATAAATGCACTGCTCTCTCAATAAACATGCTCACAGTGAGGGCCCTGATGATTTTGATGGCCGCTGCCTGTGTTTAATGGCGTCTACTGTCCTACTAACATTCCTCAGGTCGAATAAATCAGCGCCTGCACATGATGCAATGCTACACCAACACGTTTGGTTGATTATAGATAAGTTGCAATCCTGCAAAAAGCGTCATGAGAAACATCTACTCACAGTATGGTGCCTGAATGGGCTTACCTGCTTTCTGCTATAAGCAAAGAGCTCTGAAAAATAATAAGGGCATAAATTGATGTGGGACTATGTGTGCAGATTCATTGTAGTAAAATATGACTATAAAATTAAATAGGCCCATCAATATTGTAAGTGAGAGGAATTTAGAGCTGGTGGTAGAAAACTCAGTGTTTATTCAATGAGTTTGCTGAGTTTTGGGGTGGTATGAATAATTTTACCAAGGGCAGTGAAGTTGGCAAGCAAACAGCAGTTTCCGTTCCAGGTCCTTGAGCTGCCCTAGGCTCATGTCTGTCAGGAAACACTGTTACAAAGGGAAATGTTTATGCTTTTTGTTTAGGTTGTCAAGTTCTACCAATGAGAGGGCAGTGCCTATTGAAAGAAACTTCTTTGCCATTTAGCTGACTCACTGGTGTATAATGTAGCACCACATTTGAATGAGGACTGTGTGAATTAAACACACACACACAGATACACACACTGACCTTGTAGACTGTTCCAAAAGCCCCCGATCCCAGAATCTTGACCCTCTTCAGCTCTGTTTCTTTCAGGATCCGCAGCTGAGCCTGGTTAGGGGCCGTTCCGCTGGGGGTCAGTGGCTCCACCAGCTGACAAAACACACAAGACAGGCTATTTGTCCCACTCAGCACCTCTTTTTGTGGGTGCCAAAAATATAAAAAGCATTCCTCTCGACCCCTGCTTTTATTGTGAAACTACAGACAACCTGAGGCGTGCCTCTCTTTTGCTTCAAGACAAAATATTTTAACCTCTCTTGGTACTGTGAATGCAGTGGGGTGAGGCTGAGTCTTGGAAAGAGAGGCGCAAGGTGAACATGAAGGTTTATTTGCTGCAAATAAATAAGCAGCCAAAAACAGCCACTGCTCTGTCCTGATAGTCATGATTTTACAATACACACACACGTTTATGAAATACAAATAATTCAAGGGGTGTGAATGTGAAGTTCTGTCAGAACTGGCAGTTACCAATGTGGACCGCAGTGTGCCCAACCACTGAACAAATCACAGTCTGGTGTCAGCTGCTATCACAAGCGACAAAGAGTAGCAGCCTACCAGCTGTGCACATACAAAACAATTCCAATTCAAGGTTTTGACAACCCTCCTCCGTGTGCTTGGCTGCCAGGAACAGCTGACACTGAACAGCATCCCAGCAGCTGGCCAGGCCACCCGCCTCACCACTAGCCGCTCGACAAAGCCTCGGCTACTAAATATAAAGAGCAGGAGCTGGCACCTGCAGCCGAGCTGTGAAAAGATCTGAGCCACACACATATATACACACAGATATACACACATTCAACCAGACAGCATGTAGACACATCTCAGAGCGCATCGCAGATACTTGCATGTACAGTACACAGATTCACAAATATTGACAACACATGCAAATTCACACTATAAACATTAAACACACTCGAAGCACATATCAGACCACAAAACACACACACACACACACACACACACACACACACACACACACTCAAGAAGTCAATGCCTCTGATCAATACATGTCTTAATGAGCCTATCAGCCTATCGGGTGCCTCATTCGCTGTGGTTTATCAGCGGCATAATCACCCAGCTCAACCACAGCCATCAAACAAAATAATGAGACCATATATCAGTCGGTCAGCCATACAAGCGCTCACTTAATGTGATATAAAACCATCAGCACAATAGGGCCGGCGATTGCGAAAGCCACGCTGGTCCGCAGAATGGATGACATTGCCCGCAGCTCTGCAATGACATGTCGTTTAATGGGTATTGTTATGGCTGGGCCTGAAGGCGCCAGAGCAAAGCCTGCTGAGATGTCACTGCAGGAAGTGAGTTAGCAGACGGAGCAGGGGAAGGAGGATGAGGGATAAATATTGAGGGAAGTGAAGGAGATGGAAGGAGGAAAGAGGCAGCAGTGAGGGGATGGCTGAGTGATGGTGTAATAGTGAGACATCATTGAAAGCCGCCATCATTTGGTCCACTGTGTCCACTGAGACCTTTTTTTTCTTGAAACAATTACTAGATATGGTGTAAAAAATGAAAGCAGAGGAATCAAAAGCTGCAGAATAGCTCCTAAATGGACCTTGAGGTGAAATTGTTTTGTCAAATACTATTTCCATGGTCAAGAATGAACCATATCTCAACCAATAAACAAAGACGCCACTGCACTGGGAATACGTGGCAGTATCTCTCTTGCAAATGCTTTATTTTTCCTGGAGTGAAAAGCAGGGTTTATGCATATTTAACCATTTAACAAGTTACACAAGTGGGAATTTTAAACAATACTCAACATATTTAATTATATATAATATTTTAGCCATAAATAGCAAGGGTTCTCTCTACCACTTTCTAAAACATCCTACTTGCCCCACCGAAAATGTATCTTCAAATCCTAAGTTATTTAACGTTCAATATTAATACCTAAATAAGTAGTAATAAAAAAAGAGTTTAACACTCCAATATGCATCAGGACTGTGGGCGTGGTTTGATTGACAGTGACCGAACAACCATTGCATTTTATTTCAGGTAAGTACATTAACAGTGTCCTAATCAGTAATAAGCTAACCGTTTAGCTGTTGAGCTAACAATTTACATTGATGATTACAATGCCAACAATGATAAATGTGCACTGTCCTCTGTAAAGGAACAACTAAATAACAAACAATAACTTCTGGGTTGTCAGGTTGTGGAAAATCCATTAGTTATATCCTCCAGCATGACTTGGTTTGTCTTTTTAGTTACTGTAGCCTTTCCAGTCCATCTGCAAGATCCCTCTAATGCACATTTTCTCCAATGGCATGTGCACATGCAACCCCAGTTGGGTGACAGGAAAAGAAGAGGTTGTTTGCCTGCTGAAATTTGTTTGCATGAGTTAAAACGTTGCATCAAGTTTTTGGGAGCTTACACATTTCAGTGTGTGGACAGCCTTCATATCCTTAAGACCAACCTGTCAATCTAAAACTCTCCACTGAGATATATAAGTTATATTCAGTTAGGTGGGTGTAGCAGCTCTAAGTGACATATTAAGCGGTAGGGTTTTTGTGTAAGGCCTTCAATTGAAGTATTAAATTACATGGAACCACTGACTGCCGACTTTATTTACCTCAACAGAAAGGACTTTGCTCACATCCTTCACATCAGCCTGGTATTTGGGCAAAGAGCAGCATTTGCATCATTTGTTTCACATTCACAGCATGAATAGCAAGAAAAGAAGTGACGCTGTAGGAAGAGAAAAATGGAGAGTAGAGTAGAGTAGAGAGTAGTGAGAGCAGATGGTGACGGGCTGTAGCTGTTATTGTTTCATTAGGTCGAGGCTGGACTGGACTGATGAGGGGAGGACAGGAGAGGTCTATTAAATAAGATGCACACCCATGGCCTGCAAAATTCTCCTTCTGACTCACACACACTCACCACGCCACTTTATTTGCCAGCTAATAATGCGCCTTGCCTTTGCCAAATGAGCTTTGCTGGTGCCGCGGTGGAGAGGATTCAGATGCTTCAGTGGACAAATAAGCAGCATGTTCAAGCCTCGAGCTAGAATACATTCACAGAATTATCCTGTATTGAATAAGTAAACAGCATCCCCAAACACAAACTTGCACTGCAAGCTCACACAAATTACACTACCCGTATTAAGTAACATTATGGTGTTTTCTAATGAAATCAGGTGAAGCAAAATTGCTGTGTCACAAACCTTGAGCTTAACTGTGGAACTATGCATGTTAATTTTTCAATGAAACTTTGTTACCTTCAAAATTTTGAATACTGCTCTGGTTCATTCTACAAATACAGAACTTATAAAAGTACCAAAAAGGAATTGCTCTCTGTATAGTATGGCCTAATAATGGTTAAATAGGCTCATGAGATTTGCATTTTCTATATAAGAAAGGTACAATGCATGACTGGAGTGGCATTGATGCAAGAGAGTAAGCTTCTAAAATAATAACCCTCAGATCAGGAATTTAATCATGCAATGGTAACGTTTGGGCTGGACAAACTTGCTGCAGGCTTGTAAGGTTACAAAACAGACCATTTGCGCCCTCACATTTTACACATTTTATTCTTATTTTGCTCTTGAATTTTGGGTATCTGGAGTATGTAAAATATTCTTATGCTATGCTCAGGGACCCACAATGACACAGAGTCATTGAGAGCACATTAACACAATTTGTGCACGATAGCAAGAGAGCAGGCTTATCAGTATGCAAGGACATTCATTCTCGGTATTAGTGAGCCCATCCCAGCAGCACTTCTTCTCCAATATCTGCATCTAAAGAGCAGAGCCTTTTACTGTACTACTAAGTTACTAATGAACTCCTTTGGAAATCTTCCCCTTCAAATTTTAGGAGTGTAATTATAGGTAACATTCAGGCCAATTAACTTAGGCACAGTTAATGTTTTGTCATCCTCAAGGATCCATATTCTTCATATATTTTTCCAATCTTTAATTTTGTCATCCTGATTGTCCATTCTGTGATTTTATTTTGGTTTATTCTGTACACGTGCCATCTATCTATTGCATGTCTGTACATCCTTTGAGAGAGATTCCTCCTCTTTTGCTCAATCTGAAGTTTCTTCCACTTTTTCCTCCATTTAAGGAGTTTTTCCTAAGGGTCTAAGGATAAAGGGTGTTGAATGCTGCACAGATTGTAAAGGCCCCCTGAGGCAAATTTGTGATACTGGGCAGTATAAATAAAACTCACTTGACTTGACAGTATTTAGGACAGAGAGCTGTATCTGTATATCAATATTTCAATGACATAATTTGGTATCAATCACTGGAATTTTTGCTTAAATTTAACCTAAGCTAAGTATATTTGAACAATGCTTGGCTGTACTACATGCATTTGTAATGACATCCCGCGCCTCAGCTCAGTCAACCTGCCCTCGGGTGAACAACGGGAGCTGTCCAGCTCCCCCAAACGCTGAAATCCTTCTTGTAAGAGAGCATGTAAGCAGCGTGGGAGCTGTCCACCGCCTGTGGTGCTGAAACACTCACATGGCCTATGTCTGTGCAAAGCAGCTGAAAGAGGACCTTGGAGGGTGGGTGGAGAGGGGGCGATTCTAAGTGCATTAGTCCTGCTTCGTTGGACTGGGGTCAAAGTCCAAGGCCTGGGGTCATGCCGCTCCAGTGAGGGGACTCAGGCGCCGTTTGTGCCGTTTCCCCCCGCGAAAAGCAATTTCTTTCCGTGGGCTTCTTCAAGAGCCGCCACAGTGTGGGACTTTTCTTATAGTTTCTATTTTTCTTTCAAGGTGAGAGAGAGAGAAGGAAAAGAAAAGAAAAAACAAAAACAGAAAGACAGAGTTAAAAAGATAGAAGAATAAAGTGTCTGTGTGCAACGAAGACAGACAGATGAATGGAGATAAAGAGATCAAACTGGAGAACCAAAAAAGAAGAGGGAGAAGGTGAAGATGCAGGAAAAGACAGAGAATAGTAAAACAAAGAAAACAACAAAGAAGTGTGTTTTGCAAGTCAACATAGTGTCCTTGATATGGAAATGCAGGCCGAGTGCTCAGATCACGTTTTGACAGCGAGTACTGGAGGCATCTTCTTCCTGTCTGACACAAGAGGTGAGCTCTCTGTTTAACAAGCTATTGCAGATGGGGAGAGAGAGGGGGAGTCCCAGAGCCTTCTCGCTGTCCCCAAATCCCTCATCCTGACAAGCTTGATCTCCATTCACAGACACAGACTCAGCTCTATTATTTGTTTGAATAGAGAATCCACATTCGCCAGCCATCCAAAGCCTATCGTGTGCTTTCATCAGCCAAAAAGAGCCCCTGGAAAGTGTGATGCAGACTGCGAGGAGTGCAGTTTTTTGGTTTTCTTTAGTATGCTGGGTAGCTGAGAGTGGGGAGCAGCATCCAAATGGATAGTGAATAGGGGAAAGAGGAGTATCTGTGTGTATGCATGCAGTGTGAATGCACATATTCATATATTCAAGGAAAGAATTTAAACTCCAGAGTGGTGTGGGGAAGCTGATGCCTTATGAAATGAGTGCTGGCAACAAAATCAAGCACGTTATGCTTACTGGAGGCCTATGACCACTGCTTACAAAATAGTTTGGATTTTTGTATAGCTGGATTTTCACTAAATGGATTGAAACCCTTCATTTTGTTGGCTCAATTACATATTCACCATGGAAGAAACATTCAGATCCTTTACCTAAACCTACTACAAAGAGTTTTTAACTATTATGAAATAAGTTAATACTGATGCCTCTATATGACCTGCATAAGGACTCTGAGATGTGGTGGACTGTTGATCCACAGCTCCGTTCTTCACCATTCAGCTAAATGCTCTTAAACAGAATGACCTCCAAACACTGAGCAGGTCCAGTGTCTCTTTCAGGACACCACAACAAGGCTGCTAATGTGCGTGCACAAGGGCCGTGGTGGAGACTGACCCCATGACCTACCTTTAATGAGTGGTCTGTCTAACCTGTATGCCAACCTGCAAAGATTCCATTACATCTAATTACTATTACACCCAATTAGGTCTCCTTTGAGGATGGGAAAATTGACTCGGACGGTTATATTTCACGTTTTCCTGGCGGAGTATTGAGTCAACCTTTGCAGAAGCACAAATCAGTCACAGGACCACTTTAAACAGGGAGATGAAAAAGGGGTCAAGAAGATCCCCCCTCTGACTTGATCCTCCCGTGCCCCTCCTTCTCTGTGACAGTACATTAGCAAATCTGCTTGGACTGAAGACTTCCCTCCCGGTCAAGAGGCTGTCGGAACAGGGCCCGGTTGATTAAGATGGATGTGTGTGGCTGGGATGAGGCAGAAACTGCCCGTGGCCGGCCTCCTCCAATTCCCGTCTCTAGCCTGACAGCTGTCTATAACACTGCTGCCTCTACCTGTAAATTATACTAATGCAGAATGACAAGCAGCCTGCCCCACTCCTATAGGCAAGGCCACTCAGCGGACCTGCAGTGATGACATAACTGCTGGGCTACGCACAGGAAACAGGGGGGAGCGTGTCTTGTAGCAGCAGAAAGGTGATCAACCTGAACATGAACGCACACATAAACCCTGCACTCACCTACACCTCCAACTTTGACTTTCTCCTTTGAATATAAAGTCTGCTCCGCTCTCTAATGCTTCCCAGAAATGAACCCTCTTCAAGGCCGGATCGATGGGTGACGGCAGCCATGCATAATTTTCAAGTTTGGCTAAGTACCATAGCCAAGGTTTGATGTTTCAAGGTTTGCTTATGAGTCTAGTTTGGTTGGCATCCGTCTAGAAAAAAAAGTGCCACAACTTTGAGGTACAGGACCTCTAACAAACTCAAAGGAAGTGGGAAGGCAAAAACTGAGGAAATGAGCAAAAGTGTCTGGTCGAGCTTGTTCGTTCAGTTTAATTAACCAAACTCCAAAACAAAACTTTGCCTTGTTCATTTCTTGTCGAAATAACAGTAAGCGTTTCCTCTCTTGGATCAATGAAATGAATTATACTGTGGTTATTCGTTTGATGATAATACAGGACAAAGCTATTCATTTATGGAGCAGTTAATTCTCTGATCTACCACTCTGTGAATGAGCTCAAGGGGAACAGTGACTGAACAAGCCTTTCCTGTAAAAGAAACTGATCGACTCATGTTGTTCTGATGACCTCTACCCTCTCACCTCCGTCTCCAGGAAGCGTCGCAAGGCCCTCTTCTTCTTGATGCTTTTGCGCCGAACATAAACGGCCACGCTGAGTGCCAGGATGACGATGATGAATAGGCCGCCGATAATGCCAGCTGCTATTAGCGGTGTCCTGTAGAGACAGTGGAAGAGAAGAAACGTTAGGAAACTAAAAGGCACTTTGAAAGAAAGTGCTAACCTCAGCCAACAAATTCTCCAACCGGCTGTTATACCCAAAAAAATTAATCCTTAGCACTTCAGATTTAACCCTGTACTTTTATCATCTTCAGCTTGATTGGCTTTTCCATCATTTAAGAGATCCATGGATACCAATGAAACCAATCGAAAACAACAACCATGAAAAGATTTATTTTCCGCATGTCCAACTACTGTACCACTGAGAAAAAAATATATGTTTAATAAATTACTTTTTAAAGTTACTCATTGAGCTACATGTTATTGATTCCTCCTTTCCATAAATACAACACACTGGTCCTTACAATTAGCTTTTCGAACATGTAAATATCTCTTTAGATTCCTTTAAGATATTAGTTGATTTTTAACTTCAGATTTGAGCTGTTTTATTTGTAAGCTGTAATACCTTTTACATTGTTTTATTTTTTCCCATACTTCCTGACGTAGGTAACAGTCAGTATTTCATTTTAAACAGTATTGCAAATTAATTTGAAAGTTTGGCTTTGATGTAATTTCCATGTGGTCTCCAGCATAATTTATTATCTATTATCACTCCAAATAAATGAGAAATTAAAAGTGCCCATCTTTCACAAATTGCTTCTGAATCTTCTGGGGAACAATCTGCTTCAGGCAAGCCTAAAGGTTGGAAGTTAAAAGCTCTTTCTCGTCACTAATGATGGCACTAATGCATTTGCCATTTACAGACCTCTTGCACTCGTGTCTACTCAATTTTATCCTTCTATTATTGTCTCTTCCTTTATCCTTCCTCTCTTTCCATTTTTCGCTTCTCACTGGTGTCAGAATATTCTCTGCCCTGTGTTTCTTTTTAAAAAACACATCACATAGCATAAAATAGCGCCTGCTTCTACCTGATACTGGAAGTTTAAAACTCTATTAGCTGTAGAGGCCATTAACAGCTAATGGAAGACTCATGTACTATGGAGCTATGGTAGAGCAAGGTCCCGCAGCGTTTGCTATATTGATTGTGAAAAACCAAAGGGGGGGGGGGGGGGGGGGGCTCTGTGTGTTGCGATATAATGAGATATACAGTCATGTGGTGAATAGTAATCCAGCAGATTGGAGTGATTAGGTCAAGAGGGGGAAGAGAGGCAAGGAGAAACAACAACAATGGAAATAACCATATAGAACATGGAGGAAAAAGAGCAAAAACAAAACAGCTTTAAAAGGAACAAAGGAAGGAGAATTTACATATAGCTCAGGTGATGAGAAAGAAGGGATGGAAGGGAGAGACAGCAGATGGAAAAAGAAATAGAGAAACTGCTGGTGAGACAGGTAATAGTGTGAGACAGCTCTATAGGTGAGAGACGATTGAAAGGACTTCTCTAATTAGGAGGAAAGGGTTTACAGCAGAACAAGCGACATGGGGTCACCAGATGAGACATGGGAATAATGCCATTGTAAGAGCAAAAGAACAACTCTGGGACTAGAGCAGCAGTAGTCTACCAGAGGGAGTAAAAAAGGTCTCGTCTCTGTTTCCTCTGTCTAAAGGGAGCCCAGAGACCCCCTTTTATGGGTTTACTGGTTTGGTTAAATTCTAATGAGTTCGTCACTCTATTGAATGTGCTCTAATTGTATAGATCACCTGTTTTTAATGGGTATTTTAATAGAGTTGTTGTGCCTTCAGGCTATTTAGGTTGTGCGGCTCTTCACAGACTCTACCACACTTTTTCTTTAACCTACTACATTATTTTCCTGTTTGTTTATACTATTGTAATAGTAATATAAGTAGCTTTAGTAGTAGAGGGAGTGCAGTAATGTAATAACATGCATTATATTTTTTGGGGCTAGCCCATGTCACAAGTCAATTCAGGTCTCTAAATGGTGACCATTAAAAGGCAAATGTATACTACTAATAATAAATAGAAAAAAAAATAGACATAAAAATAAATAAATAAGTATAACAGATAACGTTTCAACCATGTTTTTTTTTTAACCATGTATTGCCTTTTAGTACCCTTTAAAGCACTATGTAAATAATCAATAAATAATACACTGATGTGATTCACAGAGGTTCCATTGGCGCATATAAATCGTGGCACAAATTAGACAACAAAATTCATTTAAAGTTTAGACCATGACAAAAGATTCCTAAGTCATCCATCAATTATAAAATACAGAACTCCCTGCACTCTTGTTAATGAGTATCGTGAGTAATTTTAATGAGTAGTGGCAGGATCTGATGGTGGTCTCCCAGTCCAACATTACAGATGTATCCTGAGATCCCTTACCTGTCCATCATCCCAACACAATCTTGGAGTCTTGGCCCGACGCACCTGCAGGGTAGACAAACCAGAGAGATCATCCATTAAACCAGGGACAGGTTATGAGTAAACCTCATGTAGTCTTTCTTCCACGTCAATCAACTGTCACTGAGTAAGGACCTGTGGAAAATTGAATCCAGAGCACGGCTGACCACTTGTCAAAATGACAGGAAGAAGCGCTTGGGTGAGAAGCAATGTTCTTGTTTGTTTCATGTGATATTTAAATGGTGTTTTGGACTGAGAAAATATTTTTGCATCATCTGGTGCCTCTGAGCATTTTCTAAACAAAGTGGTGTTAAATCTTTGGGGAAATTAACACAGTCTGAATCTCAATCAAATACAACTAAGGCTACCTTTCAATATCTATTTAAAATGAACATCCTCTATAGAAGTAGTGAGAATATCTTTAAAGGATATTTGTTTCTCCATTGAGTATTTGTCTGTTTATAGATAGGTATAGACATTTTGGGCTTGCTGTTCAGGACGAGATGCAGATGTTAGGTCAGTGTAGGTGGCATGTAGATGATTATATTCTAGGATATAATATATTGAGCCTTTTACGGCTGTTTTAATACCAAATAAATACCAATACAATACATCTAAGGCAGGATTTTGCACAGGCCTTAAAATACAGCAGCAGGAGAAATACTTCTACTAGATTCTACATTCTATAGCATAGCAATATTGTTTTCTACTCTAATCCCTACTTTTTTTTGTTTGTACGGTCAAAAGTTAAACCCTTAAAGCTGCTCAAACAGTCATCATGCTATGATTGTTTTTTGGGGTTTTCCAACCCTGTTTTGGGGGGTTTTCCAACTTTACTTGTTCACTCTCACAGAGGACAGTTAGCAGATAGCTGGTGAACAAAGTGGAGCATTTAGCAGCTAATGAGCCTGAAATTTACATCAGGTGTTGGGGGAGACCAAACACAGAGCTAAAAGGAGGTGACTGAATATTGGACTTACATACAGTCAGGTAGTCAAAAGCACGACTGTTTGCTCACACGTTTGCAGAATCAACTTGTTTTAATTTTATTTCAATTCAACTCTGATTCAAGGACTTCTCTCTTTAGTTAGCATCTTTAACAAAATCACTTTTACTTTCGTACCAAATACTTGCATCTCTTGTTGTTACTACCTCAACAATCAAAGCCACTGGAACATAGTGCTGACAACATGTCCGTCAGTGAGAAGTGGAGTTTTTAACATTACGTAAGCAGGAAGTGATTAGAGCAGACTCTTAGCTGCTCATTAATTCTAGCTCCTTGAGCAGAGGACTTTGAACAGCAGGATAGACACAGGAGAACAGTTTTTGAATGCTTCTCTGTTGGTGTTTTTGTGTGTGTGTGTGTGCAAGCTGCACGAGCACGCAAGACACAACAAATTACATAGCAAATTAGGAGCGCAGGCTAACTTTGGAATTAAATCGGTGACAACTGTGGCCTCTCCAAAGTCGCTTCGTTGTCAATTAAATGCCGCACCAAATAGCTAATTAGAGAGCAATCAGTGTCTGTATCCAATGTGGTGTGTGCGTGGAGTGTGTGTGCAAATGAGCCCCATAGTTCCCTTCCGAGAGAACAAAGGAGTGGTTTGACAAACATTATGAGGCAGGCACAGCACATAGTATTCGCATTTAGACAGTAGTGCCTTTCAGAAAAAGTTGCATTTGTTACTTTTTTGGCAGTAAGGTAGGGCAGTAGTAGCGCCACAGTCAATTTTGAACTAACTTTTGGTTTTCAAACCGGCATTCAGCAGTCAATTTTGCCTCACAGTGTCTTTGCCTCACACCTCTCCCTCTGCATCTCCCCTTCAACTCTCCCACACCGCGCTGGGGAGGTGCGACTCACAGTTTGAAAACCTCTGAGGCAGAGTAATGAGGCCTCTGGTTTGACCATCCGCCACCTCTTTACCAGCTATAAGGGTGCTATTCTGTTCCTGACACTGACCCTTGACCTCTGTAATGTCTCCCTTTGGCCTCAAACACCTATTGTCATATTGACATATGTGTGTCCGTAACAATGAAAGCTGTCATGGGGAGAATTATAACCTCACATGCATCTTCTCCTCTGCTTTCTACCTTTTCTCCCTCCAACATCTCCCATCCATTGTGCTTCCCTTTTGTTTACTCCCCCTCCTTTTTTAGAAGCTCCTCCACTCTGCCTCTTTGAAGCCGCACTGATGTTATCCACGCTTACAGGGTAGCCGCAGAAAAATGCAGAAGAATAAGAAAATGTAAAGTTTCAAACAGGTTGGAAAACCTCATTGTTTTTGACAGCAAGTACAACAAGCTCTCTCTATAGTGCTGTAAGCCGAATACTTAAATGTCTTTATTTTGTTTGGGATGCCACACAGAGAGGAATCTGTCCTGTAGTTAAAATAATACACCATAATGAGGTAACTCTGGACCTTTTGTATTTCCAGGGCGTAAATCGAGAAATTTGTGCAGCTTTCCTGGTGACCTTTTGCTCCAGTAAAGTAGTTTAATTTGTGACTTCATGTGATCAAAGAAGATTAGGGTCGCTCTTTATTCCAGACAGCCATGTGTTTTTCTAGAACCACTTCTTAAGGCATGTATTCTACCTACTCCTTCCCTTGCTCTTACATTTTCCCACTGCAGTCTTGGCCCGTCCCACTGTACACCCCCCTCCTCCGTGTCTCCCCTCTAGACACTGTCTGTCTGCACCTATCCCTTTATTCATAGTTCATCTACACTCTACTCCACATGCCCTAAAGGGTCAATGCATTCTGCCCCTGACCGACTGGACCCCAGAGACCAGCTACAGGTCGGCGGATCTAGTGGCTGCAAGATAAAGTCATCTTCTCTCCCTCTCTCTTTTTCTTTCTTTCTCTCCTTGGGTGGGAGGTGCCGCATGTCCAATGCAGTATGTCTTCATAGTGCTTTTAAGAGCATAAAGGCACCTTAGCCAGAAGAACGCTCAGGGAATTACTTAGGAAACACTTAAAAGAAATGCATTCATTTTTATACACAGACACGCGTCTCTATGTGTCATTCCTCTCTTACCCCTGGGTGCAGTTGGCATGGCAAGGATGGCACTCGTTGTTGGCCTTGGCGTACTTGAAGATGAAACTGTTGGCCCCTTGCAAACCATCAGGGCACTTCTCCACACAGTTGGGTCCATCTTTGAAGTGGAGGCATTTTACACATTGGTCCGGGCCCTAAGAGCAGACCAGAACAAGGAGGAGGGAGATGAGAGGATGGGTTAGAAGGAGGCAATGGACAAGGGATGAATAAAGAAAAAGAGGTGGAGGGTGCAGTGAAGTGATTAGTAAGATGTAAAGGCGAGGAATGAACAGACATATAGGAATGTAAGACAAAATTATGGGCAAAGAGGTGAACGGAACCAGCAGCAAAAAATAAAGTTAGGGAAAACGTAATGGGATTAGAGAGAGAGAGAAAAGAATGGAGATATAGAAAAATGTATGAGAAGAAAGAATAGAATTGAACAGAATCAAATTCAAACCTGGAAAATCATGTCAATTTGCTGACTTCCTACCACGGCTAATGTAGGCAGGAGACACATGAATTCCATTGAGTGATTTATAATGTGTTGAGCAAAATTGCCATGAGTGTATTCAGCTGCACCCCCTGTTAAAATTGGCAAAATGCATAAGGAATCAGGGCATGTCAAAGTGTGGCGCATCAAATATGACGGAGGAGATGACAAGTGGTAACTGAGCACAAGCTAAGCTGCAACAGGATGAATAAGTAAGATGGAGAGCGGTGTGTGTGCGTACGTGGGTGTGAAAGTAGTAAGAGAATAATTGACTGTTAAACCTGTTGTGTGTGTGTGTTCATGCTTGTGCAAGAGCTGAAGGGGTGTGTGAACTGTTGTATTCTTGCGCTCCGTTGCTAATGACGACCGCAGTGACCTGATGGACAGCCTCTCGGAGTCTGACACATTGAGACACACGCCATCAATAAACATCATTCTCACTTTGCATGTTTGCATGTGTGTGCGTGCGAGTGCGGACGCATACAGATGTCTGAAAGCATTCAAGTATGTCTGCGTGTGCCGTTCGCATGTGTATTTGTGTGTGAGAGCGCCTGTGGATGATTGACTCTGGTGTTATTTACTACTCAACTGTGACCAGAATCTCAAAGTCAGCAGCCTCTGTGCATCCTTGAGGAGTCTCTCTCTGTCTCTCTCTTCATCTCTTATTCTCTCTCTGCCTGTCTTCCTCTGTCTTGAGGGGCATTCATAAAAGGTTACTCACACAGCTAACAAATTGCACAAAATAAGTCATGCATAGATACAACTTTCTGTGATTTAACACTACAAATGTAAAATGTATGGTAGTTCAACAGCCGTTTCAAAGCTTTTTGGCTCACAACCCTTAAAGGATAAAGTTAAAGTAATCAAACCAACAATGTGCTAGTCCGCCTCTCAGTACTTTCACTGTCTGTAGCATACAACCCCAAGCCCATTCATTCCTACTGAAGACATAAATCTTTAAAAACAAGTCTGTGTTATATGTATACACATATGTATTTTTTCTGGGTTTCTATCCCCTTAATCGTCCTATGGCCCCTGAGATTTTGTTGCAACCTTTTTTGGGTGACCCCAAGTTTGGGAACTACTGGTGTATAGTATTATAATGCACATGATGAAATGACTGCATGTAGTTTTTTGAAATACTGTATATGAATGCATTTTGTGTGCAGGCACATGCATCTCTAGTGACATTTTAAAGGGAAATTCTAACATTAGTGTGATCATATCCGAGATTCTAAAAGTGACTTTAAGGGAAGGTTAGAAACTAATCTCATTTTCCCGTTTTGACTGTGTGCGTGTGTGCTTGCCAAAACCATGACTCCTAAAGTAGCCACAGTAGTTTATCATTCCTCCCATTAACCTACCATTCACCTTTGCAAACACACCACTTATATCTTCTAAAATTCTGTGTGCAAGACCAAAATACTCTCACAAAATAAGTGGAAACCCACTTTAGCATGCACAAGATATGAGAATATCTAGAACAGAAAAATGAGAGGAGTGGTTTTAATCTAAAGTGAAAAGTCTACCTCTACCAAGTATTGTTGTCTGAAGGGGATTCTTACCTGGCCAAGACATGTCATGGTGTTTCCATCCATCTTCTCACACTGGCTATCACACTCCAGGCACACAGATCCATTGGCAAATTCACGCACTTCCCTGTTAGAGATAGGGAAATCGAGATAGAGATGCATGTATTATAGATTTGAGAGCGTACCCAGATTGAAATATTGATTAAGATCTTGCAGTGGGAGGAATTTCAAGTATGCTGTGTGCATACTAGCGCAAGCTGTACATAGCAACCTTTTCATTTTAAACCAATATGTGATACAGCATCAAGAAAGCAAGGTTATACCCTTCATTTACTGTTGCCCATCTCCACAATATCTACTTGCACTGACTACTTGAGTGCCCTCTAGCAGAGGGGCATGCAGGGCAGCAAGCTGTCTAAGACAATTTGATCAAGTTAAAGGCTTAGTATGGTCAATATGTTAACAGAGAAGGCCCATGAATAATGAACAGCTTTTTAAATCATAGGCAAACACGAGATGCGTGGAGGGAGGAGGAAGTAAGGGGGGAGCTGGTGCTGGAATGGGAAGGGAATGGCAGAAGAGGGCAGGGACAGAAGTTTGAAGAAGGAGTGTACAAGAAAGAAAAAAAAGCATAGAAGAAAGGTGAGTCAAAGAAATTCATACTCTTATCAAATTCAAGAATCATTGCAGTTAATGCAACTGGTAAGAGCTCTATACCAGACTCTTTATTTAGCCAGTTAGAGTAATAAATGCAGTTCATGATGATTTTGTTTTCCCACTTTGACTTCTGAAGGAGTAGAGGTAAACAAAAGAGCTCAATATTGGGTTTATACACTGCAATTACAGCGGCAGGAGCTGCACACTGCCTTAGGCCACACTGTTGAATCCTTATATGTGTATATGGGTGTGTTTGTGTGTGTGCATGTACCCGATCTATAAATTTCTCCCTTTGTTTGTGTCAGAATCAGCACATTATCTTAGTTTTTTGAAGTGCGGCGTGTCTGGCGAGCAGAGGGTGGCTGCTGTCAATAACAACCGCTGCCGATCAAAAACACTTTTCACATCAGAGGGATCGATCAGCCGATTCAGAGGACAGACGTCCTCAGAGGAGGATTCGCCCAGTTACAAACAAGCCCACTTTTTACAGCGGTGAGACAATGAGTGTGTTTTGTTTGTATTTGCATGCAATGCTACTAGGCTGGAATAAAGATTCAACAGATTCCTTCCTCGTGAGCTGTTTTTTATGTGATCTTGCACTAAGAACTTTGGATCTCCTGCGGGTATGTGTGTTTTATGCATTTTCATGTGGTGAATATTCAACGAAAATCTTTTAGACTTGGTGGTTCTAAAAGCTGCAAAAAAGAAAAAAAGACATTCTGACACTCCTGCGTCCAACTGTATCACATTAAAGGGCAATAAAAGTGAAGATAAAATCCTAGATTTCCCTATTGCCAAGCCTTAATGTCAGGGCTTTTTTTTTAATGGTCCTAATGGTCTGTCGTGTTCACAGCAGTTCGTCTCAAATATCCAAATATACAGTATCACAGTGTCCTTTTATTAATAATGTTTTCGCTGGACTCAAAGGAAACTCCCATTGCTCTCTTTACATTTCTCCCTCGTTTTTCTTTCCCTTGTTCCAAAATAAATTAGATTTCTCTCCTGGAAGCTCTGTCCAGGGGAATCCTTTAGAAAAGGACCCAGGCAGTGGAGAGATATCTCTTTTGTTGGTTGAGGCAAAAAAAAAAAAAAAATACATGGAGGAGAATAGGTGAGAGACAAAGACCTCAGCAGTGGTGCTCTCTAGGGTCATTTCCATTCTGTCAAAGCCGTTCCTCCTGATTGGCCCCCTTCACGGCTGGAAGTGTGCACCAAAGCCCCACTGGGGGATGGCCTGATGGGGGATTAGCCCTGTTTGAGCAGGAATTTAAGCAGGACTGTGGCCACCATTCAGACCTCCAAACCTCCAGCAAACCAGAGCATGGCCAACCCACTAGAGCAACTTTTTTAATTAAACACTTTCAACGCCTCCCTAATCCTCTCCTTCCCTACTCTTCCAACCCCAGTGGACATCATCTCAGACGTTTTCTTTTCCCCTCTCGCGCTCCCTTGCTCCTCCTTTGTTTTATTCAACAGACGTATAAACTAAAGGGAATTAGTGCCTTTCCTCATTAAGAATGGAGACATATAACAAGGGCGAGCTGAGGAATCTTAAGGTTTAAAACCACCAACCTGAGAACATATTTAACGAGCTACCACTAAATCCTGTAGAGATATACAGACCATACAATAGATTCAGAGCAGAAAATATATTATTATATATAAGTAAATCTATGTTGCACACAGTAGAACCCCACAGTAACTTAACCCAAGATTGTTGAACAAGTCATTCATTAGACTGCAAGAAACACGGAGCAATATGCAAACTGTACACATTGGTTGTAGATGTCTAGCTGTGTGTTTATGTACTACTAATGTATTCTCTGTATATATTGTAGAACAGCACAAAACAGTATGGATTGTACCCATTATTTATGTCAGGTATTTAGAAATCACATTAATGATATTGTACTCTCCTTATATTTGTAAAATGTATCTCTAGGCAGATGATGATCAAGTATACTATAGCAAGCAGCTTGCTTGTTAGATTTGTGTACATAAGTATCCTGCCATTTTCTCCAAAAATGTACATAATTTAATTTTTTGTTTGTATCTATAGTATAATCTTGGAGGTCATATAATAAAGAAATCATAGTAACAGCAATAAGGAATTCTTTAAGAATAGCTAAACTCCAAAACCACTTTTTTTTCTGTTGATAACAGCATATGGGTATTTAGTAATGTTGTTGGTTGATTTAGGTCCAAATCTTGAAATGTTGGTGCAAATTTTCAATTCTATATTCTGCTATAAATACGCATAGCAACTACCCTCTACTGGTTGAACCTTGACTATTGCAATTTAGATTACAATTACAATTAGAGGTGACAGTTATTGCACCAACCATAGCATCTTATGGAAAAGAACCGACTTGCCCTCTCTTTTTGCTAGCCATAATAAGCAATGGTACTGTACATTGTAATTTACAAGAAAATAATATAATAATAATAAATTACCATTCTATATTATATCAGTATTAGAACTTATGATGGTACTAAGTCTTTCCGCTGGCTCAAGTAATTCAGTAATTCTTTATGTCAATGACAAATCAATTAGTGGCGGGATATCAGTTTTCTTCTATATTTAAAAAGACTAGTTAGAGGCAATTTGGACAAAAATATTAATAGATTTTATTCTTATTTTTGGAATTAACTGATTTAAAGGGTAAAACTTTGATCCCAGCGGCCATTTTAACAATTTAAAGGTCCAGTGTGTAGGTAGGTGAGTGTAGTGTAAGTGCAGAACTCCCTCTCTTCACCCTCCCACAGGTGTATTACTGCTACAATGAGCTGTAGTTGTGTAGTTTAATGCTGATGTTACCTCTTGCATCACACACTCTGTAGCTACAAGGCCAAGTCCTCTAAATGGTTCTTTCTGCTGCATTTTTAAGGTTTGCTGGGAGGGAGTGAGCTAGCAGAATAGAAGGGTTTAGTTTAACTAAATTATTATCACTCAAATAGTTTTTTTGCGCTACAAATCAAGTTTTGTATTAACTTGAGTGAGATGGAAAGCATAAAGTAGTATTTACCAGGGGGGAAATACAGGTTATCTAAAGTTTCCATCTCAAATTCTACCCTTTATCTGTCAAAGTAAGATTTTACTTGGTGCTTGGCAGGTGGTGATTTCTTACACTAGGCAAACCTTTAGGTTATGGACATTATGATTCCGGAGTTCAGTCCAGTGACACAAAGCAAGAGGGGGGCCTGACGAACGTTACTTGCGATGCATCACAGAGATTGACTGTATTTACAGTATAGGAAACAAGTGTGCTTCAGCAGCTCCCTGCCATGCGCCTCTTCCTCACCAGTCTTCTTCAAAGCCTTTCCTGTGAGCTGTTTTTCCTGGCAACTTCAAAGCTTCCCTCCCACAAACGGCACCGGGAAAGGACCAGCAACAAGTCAACATGACCGAGGGTTGCTTCTCGCTCTCACACACCCTCATGTGCACACATACGTGCACTCTCTCCTCTTCCCCAGGGAAAACACAAGCTTGACATCACTGCTTGCAAGAAAGTCATATTTATCTTGTGGCAGACACAGCCGATAAAGTCTTATTTTAGATGGACACTTTAAAGTGTGTGATTTACAACATCTCCTCGTTCATTCAAGAGTAGCACAAAAGGCTAGAAATTACATCTACAAAGAAGTGTTTCTCCCCAGGTGAGTTGGCAGTGATCTTTTTGATGTGCGTCTTGGCAGAATAAAGGAATGACCTGAATGCAATTATTCACACTGAAACCAGAACATCAGTAAATTGTGAGGACACTGTATGGGCCTTTGTCACAAATGTCAGTCATTTCCTAGATCAGAGCAATAAACTGTCTGTCAGCCAAAATGGGCAATTTGTAATAAAATATAATACTTACAATAAATTAAAATTGATTTTGGACAATGGATGTAATACACAGCCAAATGCTCCTTTAATTGTTCATGTTACTGTTCCCTTTGTGAAATTCTGTATTGGTTCAATTAGACTCTCCTCCTCCAGAGCCCCTGAGATTGTTTTGACTTCATTCTCATGCATCAAAGCTATTTAAATTGATTGAATTTCATCTGGTTGTCATGTATGGTGGTTTGCAAGGGAATTAATGCAGTCTCCTGAAACCATAATGATCTGATATTCAGGAAAATGCTCATTCTAAAGATTTGTGTTGGATCAGCTGAAATACACTACTGGACACTTGTAAAACATTTGCCCAGAATGCATCAAAGGAAGAAAAAAGAGAAAAACAGTGTTTGTGAATGGATTGCTTACCCATCAAAGAGGTTGCAAGACTCAACACAGATGCGGCCTCGTCTGAAATATCGGCAGGAAAGACACTGGTCGGCCCCCGGGCCCCAGCACCCGTCATCCGAACACATCTGATCACACACCATTCGCTGCTGAGCTGTAGAGAGACAGGAGGTAAATAAACAAGTATAAAAACAAGCAAATATACGTGGTTTAAGGCATGAGACCCACTACTACACTACTGTAGCCTACAGATACACACCCACACATGGTATGCAATTCAAGCATACTGGAAACATGATACAGTATATATATTTCTCTGGATTGACCAATAATATACAGGGACAAAGTGAAACGTATCTAATAATGTGTTTGCACATGCATGCATGTTTGTGTTGGTGTAGCCAAGAGCTTCACAGCTGTGTGAGTAGACATTGGTATTTCCCACATCTCCTCCATTAAAGTCCACCCCAACCAGAACCCTAAGCTCCTATTTCCAATCAAACCACAACAATCAATGCTGTTCATTGGACTCTGCGTGTCCTCCATCCGGTAAGTGACATCCACGTCCCAGGAGTGTCGCCCGTTTGGGGGGGCTAAGCCCTTTGTCAACATCCGAACAGTCAGTGGTAGACAGGGGCTTGAGCCTAATGAAGAGGCCTGTGTAAGCCCCTATCAATCGATCACACACCACACACATTAACTGGCTAATGATGAGGCTAACCACAGCCTGCATAGGCTAAGAAAAAACTACAGTGGTCCATGTCTTTGTTCTCTAGTTATCTCTCTGGCAGTTAAGGCATTTCCCTGCATGATTTGCAGGTGCATCAACATGGCGGACTCCCGCTCCCTCTGTAGATAAAAACGGCTCATTCTAAGGTAATGAAAACACAAAGATTCTTATTTGCAGGTGAATATACACCTGTAAATAAGAATCCATAACATACCAATGAAAATTATAGTACATTTTTGCCAATAGACACTGTACCTTTAATATGGCTGGTAGCACAAAATCCAAAAAGGTTTTTGATACCAAAAGGATGTTGCAAAATTATTTAAACTTCAATTCTTCCCTCAGAATGTTTAGATTTTGGCAAATGGAATCAAACTCCCCCACGACCACTTACTGCATTCCTTCGGATCTCGGTTGTTGCGGACCAGGACTTTCTGGCTCGGCGTCCTGAAGAGAGACGTCCAGTTTACAGTGTTGTAGAAGCACAGGTGGCTGTTGTTGAAGATGTATACGTTTCCGGCGCTGATCTCGTCCAATGACTGAAACTGAAGCGAGGAAATCCAACGCTGCTTCAAGATCAATAGAGAAATGCCGCTTCCACTACAGGAGAAGAAAAAAGGAAAGATAAATAATTAAAGAGATTATGAGAAAGATAAAGAGGAGGAATAGACCAGAGAGACAAGAGAATGAAGGGAGGAAGAGAATGTCAGAAATGGACGAATGGAGAAAGTGAAGAAATATAGTACAAAGAGAGAGGTGAGAAAGATGCAGAAGCTGGTTGCTTCTGCAATTCTTATTTTTGTCAATGGAGTCTGGTGGTTGGTTACAGAGAAAAAAATCGTACTATATTATATATATTTCTATATCTAAAAATATAATCTCTGTCTTTTTATGACTCTGTGGTGGCT